CCTAAAACAGGATTTCTAATCGTGTGAGATGCATGTCCTATGCAGGATATCTATTGCACAAATAAGTAAGTAAAACCCTATAGACATGTTCTCTACCCATTAACCAAGCATGCATAATCCCACCCAATTTCACTATAGCCCCAATTATTCATTACAAGTTATTACAGATGAAGTAATCAGATTACATTAGTGAGGAGTAGAAAAATAAGAAGCTATTCTATAGGGAGCCTTCAACCAGGCCCAAGTCTCTAATCCTCACTTCTTTCGAGTTTCACAACCTTTACCAAGGTTTGGGTGCAGCAAAAATCCCTAAAGGCCCATTGGGACCCTTGGCCAATACCAGGCACCCAAAATAAATTAACAAGACAAGTGCAAGTGTGAAATTACCAGCCTTGTGCATCAAAGTTCAGTGGGTACTCAAGGTACCCAAAGCAATGCTTACACTAAGGTGGCTGACCCTAAACTTCTAAGAGTAGTGAGATAGTGATGGAGTTTCAAAAGATTGAATTGAAAAGCAGTTTGAAACAGAAGATACAATGTCAGGTAAGCACAAGCAGGGGCAGAGGAGAAGGGGACAAGTAATTCGCGAGTGAGAACACAGTTACACAAAGATCAAAGAGAAGCACTTCAGCACTTAAACAATCAGGCAGGTTTCAACCAAAGAGGTCAGGACATCATGCTGATAACTACACTGGGGTTAGGGGATAAGGAGAGACATGCATGAGACATATAAGGGGAGTAATGGGCATGCCAGATTAAGATAGTCATGTTAAACAACATAGAAGCATGCTAATTACAGCAAGAACAACAAAAGCATAAGTAGGAACATACGAGAAACAAAAGGAAGTGCAATACCCATAGAAAACATATTGCTTTAAAGCTGTAAATCAAATAGGAGACATACCAGTTGAAGGCAAAGTAATGCAGGACAATAGTGAGTTATAATATGCAAAGTGGTGAAGTGAGCAGCAATATAGAGAGCAATGGAACAATGAAGCAGCCTGAAACTTAGCCTGAGTTTCAAGCTAGTTGAGCAGCCAGTAGTCACAAGGGGAGAGAGGTTGTGTGAAACAAAGAGAGAGTACTGAATTACTTCTTTTGTGTTAGAGAGAGTTCAGAAAATGATTCTGTCTTCCTATGCTAAAGAGAAGGTAGAGTATATATAGTCTTCAAATAAGTGAAAAATAAGGTAACACATATAGACTGATTATAATTATAGAAAGAAAACCTATTAGAATCAATTAAAACTCAAATTGCCTTCAATTATGGAGTCAGAGCTCAAACGGTAAAGATAAATGCATCAAATAAGGAAGGTACAACATAATTACAAGTAAGGAAAGTAAATAAGCATATAGTGTGCATATAAACAGACTGATTTTGAAAGCAATTAGTTAAGGAAAATCANAATGCTATTAAATCGAGAAATAGGCTAAAATTGCAATTTCATGCAATTTTAGTTTTAAAAT